GGGGTGACATCACCTCGTTTATATATATATATAAAATTATATATATATATATATATATATATATATATATATATATAAGGCGACGTCGCATCGCCTCGGCGACGTCACCTTTTTCTAAAATATTTATATATAAATATAAATAAATAGATATTATTTTATTATTATTTTTTCGTTCTACTCGGTAGCGGGCGGTCCGTGTATCGGTATGCCGTCAGACCAGTGCGTACCGCCCGTACCAGGCGGTATCATTCGGTATTGCCTACCTTGCATGGTTCTCCCTTTGGAGAGCCGGGACTTATCCCTCCTGGATATTTGTCCCGTTGGAGCAACATGTGCGGTCCGTTGCACATGGTTCTCCCTTTAGAGAGCCGAGACTTATCCCTCTTGGATATTTGTCCCGTTGAAGCAACATGTGCGGCTCGTTGCACATGGTTCTCCCTCTGGAGAGCCGGGACGTATCCCTCCTGGATATTTGTCGCGTTTGAGCAACTTCTCTCTTCGCTTCCTTCTCTCTGAAAGTTTCGGAGACCACCATCCCCTTGGACTACTCCGTCTTGCTGAACAAACTATGCATTGTTCTGCCTCCCACAAATGTACTTGCTAGATTGTGACTCCACGTCAATACAGCCTCCGCTGCACCCCTCAATGCCTAGCAAAATGCTGAACTTGCTGCACACTTTAGCCTCCTACGGACGTATCATTCTCATGTTGAAGAGAAAGTTTCAAAGCTCCAGGGCGTCGAGTTTCGGTCGCCTTGGGATGGCCACGAACACTCCATCGTACGCATACAATCCTTTCCATGAGTACCGAATTCTTCGAGTTAGCAATTCCCCATACCTCTGTGAGCTTTGCACAACTCTTTTGGTCGCTGAACAACCCATTCCACCTTACATGATCTCATCTTTTACCAAGCGCCTCGCTTGCCTTTAGCCGTAGCTCAAACGTTGAGCACCATCAAGTATGGTTGCCAATATTGAGTCGTAGCTCAAACTCAGCCATCCCAACCTTTGTGCGCTACGCATTCTTCCTAGCTTGCTTGTCCTCGTGGTGTCTCTTGCGCGAAGGGTTGGCCATTCCTCTAAATGCCAATCTCAGATGTCCTCTCCTCTGAGCGACTTCTTTTCCCTACATCTCCATGCCCATTTTCTCCTAAACGGTCATGCGTGCTGACTGCCCCCAATGCAGCCCCGCTAGGTCCCCCATGTTTGCATGCCAAGTGTTTCTATGAGTGCTTGTCCCGCTCTGATACCATATGTCACGGACTTAGCTGGTTTTTCCTAAGTCGTTCGTAAAGGTCAATCTTCTCAAAACCTCCTATGGTCCCTTAGGACCTACAAAAGAGAAAACGGGTTAGAGAAAGCGCTTCACTCGGGATCCACAAGCAATCATTTCAGGAAATATTTCATAACCAATGCAAATTACAAACGGACTTCACAAGCTCTGAACGGTCGCACAATAAAGGATCCAAAATGGTCCACTATAGATCGAAAGAAAATGGGGCTGCTAAGCCTATTGCCAGCTCTTTACATGCTGTGCAAAGCATGAACAAATCAAAAGACACGGACATACATAAGCATTACGTCGAACACCCCATTTACAATTTTGTCCGTGATAGTACGATATTCAGAACCTTGGGTTAGATTGTGAGTAATGGTGACATTCGACAAGCGTAGTTCAAGATATCACAGTTGAGTATTCTTCCCTTACCAAAGATAAGAAAGTAGAACACACTTGTTTACATCAAACAGGACTTTGGTCAAAATTTCTGCACTAGCTCATAGTATAATCAAACAGTAAATGTTTTTGGTGCAGGTGTAGTTTTGAAGTCAAGCAATAAGAATTTGATCTATATTGGGGTTTGCCATAGATATATAACCTTTGTTTTCCCCATCTGGTACTTATGGCTGAAGTGATTTTTGTATGTCTTCTAATTTGTGAGCTTGTCTTCTAATGTTTCATTTTATTTTGTTCCATCTGATACATCCTCATATGTATACACTTCAATGTGTGTGTGTTTACATATAAACACATCCATATAGTAATAGTGTAAAAGTTCTTCTATCTTTGGTTGCAAGTTGTACTCTACATCGGATCTCTATTGATGTTTTCTCCTTCTCTACTTCTTCATTCCTCACATGTGAGATGCTTTTGCAGGCCAAACTTGGTAAGAACCCCACCAGTGTTGCTTCTTTTTTCTGCACTTCTTCTATAGCCAAATCATCTTTGCTGAAGGAGCAGTCATCTCATTTATGTGATTTCCAGATTACACTTATGGGGCTTATGTTCTTAGTTACATCTGCAGTTCTTGGCTATGTAAGTAGTTCCAACAACCCTTCTATCTGATTATTTTTGTGTGTAACCATCTCTTCTTCTATATATGTGCTTAAGTTATAGATTAAGGAAGCCATATTTTGTATGCTTAATCTTAGTTGTGCTGTCATTTTCTTAGGTATGTGTTTAATGGTCCTCTGAAGTTGGTCCATCCTAAACACACTTTGGAGATAATGTACTGGGCTAAACTTGTTATCACTCTTAGATAAGGTTTGATTTGTAAGGGCTATAATTGAGATTCTTTTGGCTCAATTGTGTCAAAAGTTTTGATATAAACTGCTATCTCCCTACCTTTCAGGGATAGGGTTCCAGAGGCAATGGTGAGGGCATGTTTTTGTAATAGCATGCTGTCTGCTGCCTTAATTGCTTGTTTGATTGATCATCATGTCTAGGGTTTAACGAGGCAATGGGATGGATGGATAAAAGCCATGGAAGGAAGAATAACTAAAAGGAGAAGGAAAGGGATGAAGTTTGAGCGAGTTCAACCTTCAGATATGAAGTTACTGTTCATTTGAAAATTTGATACATCATTTTATCTGAACCATAATGATAGGCTGGAGTGGGACTCAACTGAGTGGAAAAGATACTTATTTGAAGATAGACTCTTACCTTTCTCACTAAAACCATATCCACGTCAGGTGGCTGCATATTACTGTAGCCTTCCAGCTGCATGATTTTCACTTTATAGCATTGGAAATATATTTTGTTTGTGTTACTGTCAATTTGAAACTAGCTAATAAATGTTCTTAAAAAATCCTGTTAGGAAGAAAGAAAACATTAATTTAATTACATATTTTTCTTTACAAACTGTGGGGAATTACCACATTGACAAAGAAAATATTTTGATGGCATGGATTTATATCTGAGTGGAAGTTGTGAATAATGACCAACCAGGCCTTGGCCTATTGGTTGTCTCTTCTTCTTGAAGAGTTTTTAGATTTAATCGTTTTGGAGGATGGGCTCAAACATTCAACCATGGTAATTCTGTAGGTGGGGGATCAGTTACCTCAGAGAGAGTATATAATTTTTGAATTAAATGAGTAATAGCTTAACTCTTAGAAGCCAATTTTCTCCTTTAGCTATAATCAAAAGATATGAGAGAGAGAAAGGACAAATAATCTTTGAATTAAATGAGTGACAACTTTACTCTTGGAAGCCAATTTTCTCTTTTAGCTATACTCAATATGTGAAAAGATATGTAGTTAATGCTTCTTTGTATCACTAGATGGAAGGTATTGAAGAAGCAATTAATTAAGTTGAGCTTAAACACAACTTGTATGAAAGGTATATTCCAATCAAAATTGCAATAACAAAGAAAAAAGATTGTGGTCCTACAGATCTGCCCATTCATCGAGGCACATTCGTTGATGTGGACTTACTGGTCTGCAACTAACTCTGTGCCATAAATAAGAAAAGTGGCATGTGATAGTGTGTTCTTGGGACAATATTTAACAAGGCTGGATTGGCTTTCCTCAAGTCTTCATGCAAAGTATAAGGTGTATGTGCATAGAACTGGCAAAATTTCTCTTATGTAATTTGGTATATATTTCATGCAATTACTATTGGTCTCTCTCAGTGGATATTCTCTCAATCACCTCAAGTCTTTGACATTTCAGGATTTTGTTTCTTCTCTCTCCCTTGTGGCTTTGTAATTATTTAAGTGTTATTGTGTTAGGTTGCTATTTTCATTGACACAGTCACAACTTTTGTTGTCCGGCAAAATTTTGTTATAACAGTGTTATATGCATTGCGATAACTGATGCACTGATTCCATCTTAAATGAGTCACATGGTGGACAGTCTTTTGCTACCATGGATTGCCTTGGGTAATGGTCAAGAATTACCATGTTATGTTCTGGTTACCAGCCTACTTGTGAGGATCCTGCAAAATATGTCATTCTCTTCTGCCATTCAACCATGCTGTCACGGACTTAGCTGGTTTTGCCTAAGTCGTGCGGCACCCTTGCATGTCCGTCCGCAAAGGTCAGCCTCCCTGAAGCCTCTCATTGTCCCTTAGGACCAACAAAAGAGAAAACGGGTTAGAGAGAACGCCTCAATCGGGATCCACAAGCAAACATCTTCGAAAAACACTTCATAGACAATGCAAATTACAAACAGACTTTACAAGCTCTGAACAGTTGCACAACAAAG